TTACCAAGCCATGGAGATCAAGTGATGTGATATTTCTGGTGGACGAACAAAGATTTTATGTTCATCGCTGGGTCCTCGCAATGTGGTCTCCCGTTTTTGAAAAAATGTTTACTTCGAACTTCTCAGAGAGGAAGGAAACTGAAATCTCATTTCCAAACAAAGCGAGCGAAGAATTCAAAGAAATTTTAGTGATGGTTTATTCCTGTGCAGAGTCGCCAGCAGTGACGAACGGCAATTGCTTCTTCTTACTTAAACTCGCTCACGAATATCAAATCGACTGTGCTCTTCGTAAGTGTGAACACTTTCTTTGGAACGCTTCATATTCTGTGGTTGCTGGTTGTTTACACATCAAAGATCTTTTTCCATTTTTTAAAATGAAGCAGTTTAAAGACGAAAAAGAACAAATTCTGTCTTTGTTAATTGTTGGTCAGGAGTACCAGCTAGAAAGAGTTGTAGCAGCTTGTGTACACTTGGCCAGCTACTTCACTTTGAAAGCACTAAAGCAGGATTATGTGGAATTATGTGATCTTATCACTAAAGAAAATTACTCGAAAGAATGATCGAACGCTTGGAAGATAGTTTTTTTGTGTTCTGAAAGAGTGAGACATATTTTTCATTTCTTGTAACATTCCAGTTCCATTCCTGCTAAGGAAAGTTTATTTTTCGTCGTAGTCACATTGAGGGAAATGTTTCTAATTGGAGAACGGTACGGTCTTTTTTTTTTTGCTTCATTCAAATGTTCTTGCTTAATCACCGGTTTTGAATAACTTGAGTCACTTTGCACGGATCAATATGATTTGTAATTTGCAGTCAGAGCTAAAATTCAGAATATTAACTGGCCATCTGTAATATTGTTATATATTTCCTTTTAGTTTTAAAATTTGTAACCCTAACAAGTGTTGTGTAAATAAACGACTATAACAAAAAAACAAAACAAAACAAATCTGGCCATTAGTCTCGTTTTTCGACCCGTTCCCACATTGAAGTGGCTGGGTATCTGGCAGCTTGGGGCGGCCTCAGGTTGCCCACGCTCTAGAACAAGAGAGAATGATCATTCTCTCTTGTCTAGAACGATTCATTTAGTAAAGAAGCGGTAATTATTTAAACTGCCTAGAATTGGTCTGTTCAGTCCAAGACAGTCGAAGCATAATACAGGAATAAACATTTCATTTCTTGTCCTTGTATTTTCGTTTCGCATGAACTAGCAAGAAACTTCCATGCAAGTCCCAATTTTAATTAAAGTTCTGTTAGAATAATGTGTATAGTGTAAATATTGCGATAAGAATTTTATTTTTTTTAATCTTTAAATTTTAATTTCAATTTTTAAATAAGAATTTTAACTTGTATTTTTATATATTTGTTTTCTATTATTAATGTATTTTTTTTTTAATCTACAAAATTTGCGAAGCGCGCGAGCCTCACACGCCCGGCGTGTGAGGCCAGAGAAAAAATTTTAGCGTCTATCCCCAGTCTCGCTCATTGTTTTCAGCCTCGTTCCAGACCTTTTGTTTGACTGCTCGCCCGTACATACGCCCTGTTTTGCAGTCTATAATTCTGTCGTCTCAGGGATCTCTTTAATAGTTGTTGCTTTGTGAATTTATATCAAAATATTGGTAATGCAATAATACCAAATAAAATGACGAATAATCTTTCTTTCATCGAGGTCCGTTTTGAGTGGGTAAAGCGAATCGAAAAAAAATTGCGTGAAAATCGCCCGCTTTTTTTGCTCGTCTGCTTTGACCGAGAGTCTGGCACAGGCTACGCCATGTTTAATAGAGAAGGGGTAGAAGATCTTATCATTAGAGAGTTTAAACCTCACGTACACAGCAAACGGCAAAAGTCAGATTCAAGTTGAGAATTTCTCAAAATAGAAACTAGCAGATAAAAACAGCTCAAAACAATTCTTATGGTCAAAAAATTGCGGGAAACTACTAATTTATGAGTACAATTCATAAACAGTAGGCGAAGGGGAAACATGCTAACGTGGTAAAAAAATCGCGTCTGTAGGGTGGGGTTAATTTTTGATCCGTTTTCGCGCCACGATCGAAACAGCCAGTAGAAGATTTGAAACTGGCGTGATACTCTTCCCCCGACGGGCTGACTCCTGACTTCCTTCTCCCCCTCCCAGAGTCTGTACGGTCAGCTTTCGGTCGTACGCTGACGTCATAACCAAATTTTCTCGGATGGATAGATTACCAAATTGTCTTAGCTATGGTGCTCCGCTCGCGCGCGCGGAGCTCCGCTGATGTGCTGTGAACGCGTGTTGGCTTATCGATAGTTGGAATGAGATAACTATTTTGCAAAGTCGTAAGAAATTCATGGCTATAACGAGAAGTCTGAGTTTTCAAAAGACACAAGTTAAAATCACACATCAGGCGGACATTTTCCCCGGAAAACCTTTCCATGGTTTCGTTTAAATATTCTAGAAATCTATCAGGCGAATTATGTTGACGATAAATAATACCGCAGATGAAACCCAGGCTGAGGTAATTCCATTCTCTAAACGGCAAAACTTGCCAACAAGACCAAAAAAACAACACTAACTATAACTGATACCCAAATATGTTCTAAAACGGAAATGCTGTTGCTGTTACCTGGAGATTTATTGGATTCAAAAGAGTTGAGGCTCTTACACATTCTTCAATTGTCCCTTCCCTTCACACGCTTGAGAATCGTCAACGGAGAGTCTAGGCATAAGCGGATATTCCAAAAAAAAGTATCGATCATCCTTCTTATACAGACCAAAATAAAAGCCTTCTACAACCCCCAAAATCTTTTGAGGATCAGTAACTAACAATTTTTCTTTATTAAAAACCTTACGAACTGAACTTTTAGCCTTCCGATGAGATTCTAGATTGAGGAAATACTTGTTACTTTTATTCGTCTGTTATGGCCATGAACACTAAATCACGATCATTCTTTTAATGATAAGCCCGCAGAAAGTTTTTATTGTTTCTAAGCTCATGCATAGCTCAAACAAAATTCCAACAGACAAAATGCGCCGGCGTATCGCGATCGTAGGTACGATCGCCTTCAAATAAATACATTTTACAACAATAACTTGGCAATACTCAACCTCGTTCCCAGGGTCGTCTCCTACGCCCCCCCCCCCCCCCCCCCCGTGGGGGGGGGGGGAGAGACCCCTGGCACCGAGCTTGGGCAATACTTAGGGCCAGTTTAAATAACGCGGGGGGCCCCCAGGTAGGTGGGGGAACCCATTTGGGGGGGAAATCCGCCGGCCCACATAATCTCTCTTTTTATTTTTTAAAATAAAAACCCGAAAAAATTTTTATTTTTTTCCAGCTCCATGCAAACCCAAAAAAAAATCCAAAAAAACAAATGTGCCCGGCGCTTCGGGAGCTTGGTTACACACCCTTTAAAAAAAAACAATTTTAAAACAAAAACTGGGAAACCCCCCCCCCCTCTCCCGGGTTCTTCTCCACCCCCCCCCCCCCCCCACGCCCGTAGGGCGGGTAGGAGAGAACCCTGGCAACGAGCTTGGGCAATACTTAGGGCCAGTTTAAATGACGCGGGGGGACCCCAGGTAGGTGAGGTAATCCAATTTGGTGGGTAATCCGCCTGTCCACATAATCTCTCATTTTAATTTGATTACGTTTACATGATAGGTGCATGGGGTAACCCGCCACATGTTACCTCACCTATCTGGGGTCCCCCACCTCCATCTGAACAGGCCCTTGTTTTTGATATTTTAGCTGCTTAGATCTCTTTTCTAGATATCCAACGTTGACAAGCAACAGGATCTTCGTCCACGGTTTTTACAGTAAATTTCTTTAACAAAAATGAGTATGAAAAACTTTTTAAAGCTTACAAGTTTTTTTATTTTGTCCCTTTACAAGCAATTTATTTGTAAACGTCAAGTTATACAGTGCATAAAAAATGTACCGAAGCTTATTAAATTTTTTCTCCAAAAATGCGGTGCTTATTTGAGGGCGGTGCTTAAAACCATAGTAGCAGCTCTGACTTAGTACCTTATTTACGCGAATAAGTTTATTACATTTAGGACAAAATGTTATTGCATTTAGGACTTTATTTCATTTAGGGTCGTTTATTACATTTAGGTCTTCTACACGTCACGGGCAAGCGCTCCCTGTGCCCTTGGGACCCGTGCACTTAAATTCCAGCACATCTGTGGATCCGCGGGGGAACTCGTTGTGCATATATTTGTGAGTTTAGTATAAATTGACCTGTTTTCATGCTGTTTTTAGCATACACCGTGTATGTGACCTTATCTCCGCCATCGCTGTGCCTCGTTTCGCTTTCCTCCACTGTGGCTAGTGCTGTTGTCGTGGCTGTACAGGTTAAAGAAAACAATGTTGCAGAAACTCATGCTGTTGCTACTAACGCGGCTCCGTTTATGGCCCTAGGTCAGTTTTCTACATTTTGTGTTCGTTCACGGTCTCCCAGCTCGTTCCTGCCTCGTGTCTGTATTTTTCATTCGAGTCCGTAGGGTAGTTTTGTGCTACTGTGAAAGTTGGGGTTGTTTTGAAAATCAGTCGGGAATAACTATGACAAATTTGTCTCGAGAATTTTTGATGAACGAATAACACCCGAGAACATGCATAACAAGGTATGCAAAATGGCCTTAGGGGTTCACGCTAAAGCAAGCAACCATGCTGTGAAAGGAGAACTCGGACGTTTTCCTCTTCATCTTATTATTTACACTAGAATTTTTAAGTACTTCTTAAGATTACTTACCTTACAAAATAACCAAATTTTAAATAGCGCTCTAGAGATAAACATCCATTTAAATAATGTGGGTAAGCATTTATGGTTCACTACTGTAAGACACGTATTACACTTTACCAAATTAAATGATTATACCCCAAATCTGCCACATCTTGACTACAGGACATTTCCTCTCCTGGTTAGAATGTTTAAAAGAAATTTGTTTAAAGAATACCAAGAATGTTGATCGAAAAGTCTGAACAAGGATAAATTCGACTCCCCAGTTGAAAGTCTGTATAGTGAAGTGAAAAACGAAGTCAGATTTGAATCTTATCTTGATTAAGAGTGGCAGTAACCAAAATGCGTATTTCTTGCCACTTGCTACCTATTGAATCTGGGCGCAACAAGAAGATACCCAGAGTTGAGAGGCTTTGCCCCCTTTGTAGTAGATCCGAAATTGGTGATGAATTCCACTATTTGTTGAAATGTACCCACTCATCACTTTCTCATATAAGGGGTATCTTCTTGGAGAGCCTAAACTCGATAAACAGTAATTTTACGAATATGTCTTACAAGGCACTATTTTTATATATCATGTCCATGTGCGATCAAAACATCTTAAATCTCAGTGCCTCTTATATTGAAAATATTCTAAATTGTTATGCACCCGAACTCTAATTAAACTTTCTTACCATACGAGTAGCGTAGAAGCCGTACGTAGCCAAGTAATTTTTTCTTTTATGATAATATTCAATTGTTCCTTTCTTTCTTTCTTACTTAACTTTTATTTTACTTTTTTCATTTGTTATTGTTTTGATACTGAAATCTTCATGTAGAAGATAAAGTCAATAAAGTATTGGCTACACGTCTGTCA